AGAGAGAGAGAGAGAGAGAGAGAGAGAGCACGCACTTGCGCCAGGGATTGTACCCAGTGCCTCAAGCCTGCTAGGCAAGCACTCTACCACTGAGCCACAACTCCAGCCCCTTATTTTATCTTTTATACTGGGGATTGACTTCCAAAGTATTTTAGTACTGAGCTACATCCCCCGTCCTTTTTACTTTTTAATTGTGATACAGGGTGGACCTAAGTTGCTGAGGGTATCATTAAATTACTGAGGCTGGCCTTGAACTTGGGATTCTCCTGCCTCAGTCTCCCAAATAACTAGGATCACAGGTGTGTCTGCGAATGAATAATCTTTATGTTAATTCACTTTAAAAATTGATACCTTTATCCAAACAAGTAGACTTTACACACCCTTACCAAAAGTAGAAAACTGGAACCAGGTACTCTAGGGTGAAGAGAACTAAAAATAAAAGTACCCAAAATGGGGCTGGGGTGGTGGCTCAGTGGTAGAGTGCTTGCCTAGCATGCATGAGGCACTGAGTTCAATCCTTGGCACCACATTTAAAAAAAAAAAAACAACTAAAGATACATAAATAAATATTTTTTAAAAGTACCCAAAATAACCAATTTAAATCTTAGCTAGGTTTTGTGGCTTACAGCTGGCTGAGTTCCAAGGTCTCTGCTAAAATGAAAGATAAGCAAAAACTAAAACAAGTGTTAATGCCATGTTAGCCCCATATTGACACTTTCTCCTTGGCTTACTCAGAAACATAACAAACCACAGACTCTAATAACTGTCCTTTTCATTTCGTTTTGCTTGGGATGAACCCAGGGCCTTGCACATGCCAGTCAAGTCCTCTACCACTGAGCTACGCCCCTAGCACAAGTAATAACTTTCTTATGATGTCACTGGTGTTATTTACTGCTTCAGTCCATCTCCCATCCACACTTCCGGAACTTAGGTCTACTCCGGGGAAGGTTGCAAGTTGTAAAACAATAGCTATTGATAGGAAAAGAAAGGCTTGCAAGCCTGTCCAGGCTGTTTTGATCCTAAATAATAATGAGGACCACAGAAGAAGGTGGAGGGGGCGGTGCCCAGGCCGCTGGGGGTTAGCTGGAGCCCCAGTCCACTTACGCTCACCTGCATTCACCTGCGGTCCCTCGCAACCTCCCGCCGCCTCACCATCAGCTTGCAACTTTAGTCCCCGCAGGTGGTGGAGCTGCAGGGGTCGCTATGGCAACGAGACGCTCGCAGCAAAACAATCAGTTTCCGCCCCTTCCTGCTGAGACCCGGTAGCGGGAAATTTTGAAGGGCAAACCAACCCGCGCTGGTTCTTAGTCTCATGGGGGCGGGGGTGGGGGTGCGGTCTGCACCGCTTCAAGCGTCTGTGGGAAGCTCTGGGACCCCCAGCCCTGGACAGTGCATTTGTATTGCATAGTCCCTCCTCTGCTCTCACCCGACAGTATGGGGGGAAAAGCCCTTACGGTGACCTTCAAGACCCCGGGTGACCTGCCCAGCCCCTCCCCTGCCCTCTTGGCCACTTTGCTCTGCTCCTTGCACCCAGTCTCTGCCCCAGCCCCACACTTGCTTCTTGACTGTTCCTGGAAAGTGCTGGGCACGTTCCGGCCTCAGGGTCTTTACCTCTTCTTTGCCCACTGCCAGGACATCTCTTCCTCTAGAGAGCAGCATGGATCGCTCCTTCCTCTCCTTCAGGGTTGTATTCAAACGTCACCCCCTCACCGAGAAGTTCCTGGAACAAGCACCCTGTTTAAAATTGGAATCTCCACATGTACTTGTCAAAGCTCATCCCTGTTTTGTGTTCTGTTAGCGCTTGGCGCAGGCGCCTCCACACATTACTGTTTGTCTCTGAAGACTAAGGTTTTATTCTTCCCACTTTTGTTTTCAATGAAAAATTTCAAACACAGAAAAACATAACTACAATGAACACCTGCTATAACATCTGCCTATATTCAACAGTTACTGGCTTTTACCCCCCCCCCCCCCCCCCCCGCCCGCCCAAGGCATTGAATCTAGGGACTCTAACCACTGAGCTACACCCAGCCTATTTATTTATTTATTTAGTTGCTGGTGATTGAACCCAAGGGCCTTAACCACTGAGCCACATCCCCAGCCCTTTTTTAATATTTTATTTAGAGACAGGGTCTCACTGAGTTGCTTAGGGTCTCACTGAGTTGCTTAGGGCCTCACTAAGTTGCTGAGGCTGACTTTGAACTCTTGATCCTCCTGCCTCAGCCTCCAAAGCTGCTGGGCTCCCAGCTCTTTTTAGTTTTGAGACAGAGTCTTGCTAAGTTGCTGTAATATCAAGTAGCTGGTATTACAGGTGTGTGCCACCATAACTGACATTTTGCCATACTTGAAAGCAGAGAGGTTTTTTTTATTTATTTTTTTCCCCCACGGCTGTCTCCATAGAATCCAGAAGACTGCCAGGAGCACAGTAGTTGCTCAATAATTATTGTTAAATGAATGAATGATGTGCACTTAGGAACTCCTGCTTTGGGAGTCTGTGGTCCTCAGGTAAAGTCCCTTGCCAGAGACAAGCCAGACTCTCCAACATGGTTGCAGAAATATAAATAGGATCTTGCCCAGGAATATCCAGCTTGTTGGATCTGCTGCTGGGATCTGAGAGGCTCTGCCTTCCTGGAGGACCAGCTTTTTCTAATTTGCACAAAACTGTGGTATGGACCTGACATAGCCCTGAGATGAACTGTGCAGGTGACCTGAAACTGGGTTTCCCGGAGATGGTGATACCCCCCGCTGCACCAAATCACCTCTATCCTGCTACAAA